TTTATTTCTCAAATAGGCTATTTTCTTCGCGATAGCATTTGTTTTAACGTTGCTAATATCTCTAACCCTATAATTTAAGGACCAATAGGACTTCTTGAGGATATGTACGAAGACTGAACACCCATAGTAATTCCTCGCATGTTACGAATGATCTTGAGCAGCTGTCATGACTTAAAATCGGGCAAGCCTCTGCCTCGTTTGCCTACATTTAATTAAAAAACCTTTCAAGCCGCCTTACTACGGGTTTTGAGAACATGCATAATTTCCAAATCCGCAATATTATTATTATTATTTTTTCATGTGGAACGTTGACAAGCGAGCGGGTGGTTCACCTGATGTTAAGTGAATACCGCCGCCCATGGGTTACAGATGCGTTGACAACCTTTGGAAAAATGGGCTCCGGCTACCAAACTCACCAGACGAAACGCGAAAATTTTTGTGATACTTCTACTTTACGCCGGTCTTTTGTGAGGTCGTGGTCTGGACCCGGACGAGTCTGCCCATTCATACAACAATCGGAACTACTGCGTGGCCCTACCACAGTTAAGGTTATCGATTCCTATCATTAATTAAATATCTGCCATGATATTTTTATGTCTTGTTTTGTTGTTATTGTTGGTAGCTAGATGATTTCTTACATTTCCTAGACAAAACTTCTTTAAACTACATTGCGAACTTGAAATGTTTAACAGAAAATTGATAAGCATTCTTGGGATCATCAAAACAAAATGACAGAGCTAGAGAAACAATTAATGAATTCTACACAAGCCGTGATAGCTCAGTGTCCGGGCGCTCGCCTTTAATTCAATATACTCGAGCAACCTGAGTTCGATCCCCGGTGCCGGCACCAATGAACTTTAAGTGGTGACTTATCACGTGCTCCGCGGTGAAGGAAAACATCGTGAGTAAACCTGCATCTTTTCGAAATAATAACAAAAAAAAAATATATTTCGAAGATATATGAAGTCCGCCAATCCGCAGTGGGGCCGCGTGGTGGACTATGCCCTGATACCCTCTATAGAGGAGGCCTTTGCCCAGCAGTGGGACATGTATAGGCTGTTACTTTACTTTTTTACTTTTACACAATACAATTTTATAGTTAGTGGAATTGGTTATGAGGGAAAAATGTTGTACTTAGATTATATTTTATATCATTTTCCTCACTTTAGGAGACTATTTTGTTACGCGAGTTTTATTTGACAAAATATTTCATAGGTAATGTTATAAAGTTACTAACAATGCAAAACAGTGATTTTTTTTATAAAGGTGAAGCATGTCAATACTGCGCGGCGTTTAAAAATGGATCCAATTTATATTTATACTACAAACATTTTTGAATAACTATATAACGATAGCAATATAGAGTTGCAATGTAATTACAACAACTGGCGTAATTTGAGTGACTCAGTTTTGGTACGCAGGTGTCATATCTACCTCTTATTTGTATATAATATCATTGATGCAAAAGATATAAAACTATTCCTTGGCAAGGATGCCGTTATATTGCTTGGAACAACAAAACATATTCGAACGGGTCGAATTATAATAATCTCTTTGCTTTTGTTTCTACCTTCAGTCTTATGGACCCAGGAAAGATTTATCGGTCAAGTTTTTGTTACCCTTTTCGACCGTGAAAAAGCTTTTCCGGAGTACATAAATGAGACGAATAATTATAACATGTACATCGTTATAAAACTTTTTTTATTTTACTAAGATGGCGAGCAAATAGTCTGTTTACCTGATGCTAAGTGATTATCGTCACCCATTGATATCAGAAAAGTATGCTTTTAAGATAGTGGGCCTCGGCTACCTCACTCGTCAGACGAAACGTTGAAGTATATTACTTCCATTTTACCCGTCTTTTGTGAGTACCGTGAAGTTGATTATACTTTCGCGTTTCGCCTGTTTAGTGAGGTAACCAGGGCACATTGTTTTGGAGGTTGTCAAATCATCTGCAAGCCATAAATTGTTGTAGATTTCCATGGGAGGTGGACCAATTAACATTAGGTGAGCAACCTGCTCGCTTGACAACTTTTCACATAAAAAGGAAAACTTTTACTGTGGTAGGGCCACAGGAGCCTAAATAGGGCCGGCCGTCTTCGCTGATCGCATCTCTTCGTCACGAATGAGCAGGTCCATCCGGGGAAGTATCAAGACCTCACAGGAGACGACCTGGTGAATTAGGTGACCAGGGCCCACTTTATTGAAATGCGGCAGCGCATTTGTAACCCAACATTGGATGTTGCGAATGTCCATGGGCGGCGGTCACCACTTAATATCAAGTTAACTGCCAACTCGCTTGCCATCTTGCTTATAAGCTTGTTATTCGGGTTTCCTGCCTGCAAAGGTATCAGTCTCACCTGCTTCCGTTCATGCTGTTAACAAACTCACTACACGTGACCACGAAGTTCGGCACTAGATAGCCTACTCGAAACTGGCAAAACCTTAATTTTCTTCGTCTGGCCTTTAGCCTTAAATGACGCCTTAAAAAGCCTTAATTGACGGGGAAGCCTGTGTTGTTTCATTCAATTGAATAAACCTTTCTAATGCCATTTACAAAGTGTTGGTCCAGTTTAATATACATAAATTGGAGACATTCAGTCTCCAATTTATCCCATAATCTACCTGAGGCAATATTACCGCCGAATATTTCGCGTTATCGATATCGGTTTTAATAAGAGCGGTGACAAATGGAAGGAGTTTAGGTGCACTCGCTGCTTATTTCGTTTACAAATCACTTTATTATCATAATCGTATGCGACAAGGAGGCGCAGATGGATAGGTCTCCATCTCCGTCTCCTCTATTACTCCGTCTGAAATGTCTTTGCTAGTAGGTTAGTACCTACTAGCAATGGAAAAGACATTTCAGATTTCGTGTAATATTTCTTTTATAGATCTATTCCTAATAGAAATAGACGAGCTTAACACCTCCCTCCCCAAACCCCGTGAACAAAAAAAATTATATATTTTAAATACTAATAAGACACGAGCAACCTTGGTCCAGGGTGGTTGATGAGAGTCCGTGTCTGTAATTGGAAGAGTAAAAATCGTTTACGGAAAAATAATGAACTCCGACGAAGTTGGAGAAGTGTGCCAGGATCGAGTAAAATAACCAAAAGGGAGTGAGCAGGGCTGGTAAAAAGTTTGCAATCGAGCCAACAGTTTGTCTATGGTTGGCGACTACCACGGTCCGTGTGAGTACATAAACCGTAAAGATGCATGTGCGCTAGCAATCTGTAAAAGTTAGGTTCTGTTCGGTTATTCTCGATACGAAGTTCAAAAGTAAAAATAGCCCTTCATTATGCTGCTGTGGTGTTCTGGTACTGTCTGATGGCCTAATACCCGGTTCTTTCAAACTAAACACGCCCTAATGAATTTGATTGACCTAGTGACGGGACAGAAAGTAACGAGGGAGAGCCTGTCAAGTTTTAGGAGCAGGAGGAGTCTGCCAATCCGAAATAGGATTAAACAACGGAGTCTACCCTGAGTATAGATTTGGGTGCGGGAAGCTGTTGAGGTTTACGTACTATGATATACACAGAGAGAGTTAGCGAAATACGTTTACTCTGCTTAACGAACAAGATAAGAGAACGGAGTACGCTGAAAGATTAGTAGCTTAATAAACTTTCCTTGAACCTCGCATATTAGGGAATATAATTACAAATCAGTGCATATTGATGTCTTCGAAGAGCACCCGTAGACGCAATATACCTATGCCATCACCAGTTATTTCAGGAAGAGTTTAAAAGAGAATATGTTACGAGGTAAAATAGGTAAACGTATGTATGATAATCTACTACTAGTACTGTTTTTAATAAAAATACACACACAGGTCATGGGTATTATGGTTAGAAATAGTGACAAATTTGAATCTGGTATTTTAGACCCATTTAGACATAAAACTTAGAAAGAACATAAAAACTATTAACTTGTATTCCGTGAAGGATATAAAAGTATCTTTTATTCCAAGGTAAGAATGGATCGTAGTCATTGGTAAGAACCAAAAGCCGTTTGCGTCATCAGTGCGTGTTTTAAAGATAACATTGCATCCAACCCATCAACAAGATTACGAAGACAACAACAGAATTAAAATTTGATCATCACTCAAAACGATAAAAAAAATTGAATCACGCCTTTGCAAGAGTACAGAACACATTAAATATGTTACCATTTTTGTTATATCGTCCTAGTACTTCTAAAAAAGATTTAATGTTTATTATTTATAGTTATGTAATAAAAAACTCATTCCCGTTAATACAGTTGTCTAATATAAACAATAGTGTTGTCGCAAAAAGCAGCACAAAACTACAGACACTGTAAATTACAGGCTTTTCAGTAAAATCTTGCTAAAGATTCGCTACAGGGTTTTCACGCATGTGTAGGCCAACTACATTACTCCCCCCTCAACCTCCCTGACCCTATTTGGACTGTTTAAGCTGCATCATATCCAATGTAAAATAATCGCACGTTAAAATTGTCAATTTCGAATTCATTTCATAACACTGATATGGAAAAAATTCAGGTGCATAATTGTTTTCCATAACTATTTAATATCTGCATTCATTCTAACAACAATAAGTAATTGCTCAAAACTGATGACCAAACAGGTCAGTTTAAGTGACAGATCATTCTGTCATAATCACATGTCATAATATAACTCGTCGCCTTCGTGGCGAAATCGATAGCCGCCTAAAGATTTCCACACAAATACACCGTGCAATCCTGCCCAGATTTTGAATAATGCGAGCTGCATGTGCAACCGGCCACGGGCGGGAGGAACGAGACGCTTGTATACGAGGCCACACGCGCGCGAGCGGGACACCCGCCGCGGTACACGAGCTATGAGTTACAGGTATTGGACCCGATCCAGGATGCACTACTGCTACGAAGCGTGGTCTCCAGGTGTACTGCAAGGGCGCAGTCCGATATTAACCATGTCGCGGGCGTGTCAGTGAGCGGGACGGCGTCCGCGTCGCGGTTACCTCTCTGGCCATCGCGGCATGACCGCCGGAGGCCGCGGTCACGCCGCCATCCTCGTGGGGCGCAGCCCGGGACTCGCGACGCGGCTCGGGCACTTAGCGGTGCGCCGCGTGGGCGGCCGGATCGATGAGCACCGCGCGCCTGCGCCCCCGAAAGCCGCCGGCTCAGCACCGAGCGCCCCCGAGCCGCCCCGAGCGGCGGTGCATCCGCCCTGACCCAATTCCCGCGCACACTGACCTCCTTCCTTCACGCCGCTCCGCGATGCGCACCCTTCCAATCCCTTCGCCGGCACGCCATTACTCACACCAATATCGACTGAAGCCCGTATCGCTTAGGGGCGAAATTCAGCCCCGTTCGCCCCGCGATTCGATAAAAATAACAAAACCTACCCCTCGTCTACTACGTCCATTGCATTTCAGACGGCGCGATGGCCTTCCGTTTATATACCATGCCTAATATGAAGGCAAACAATGAATAACGAACTGTAAAATGAAAGCAAACTCTGTTAGGACTTCGTTTCGGCACGCTTGGAAAATTTTCGCTGATTTGCAAATGCTAACGTAACACAGTTGGTTTAGTAAAATTCAAAAAAGAATAAAAAGATCTTGTTTGTTTTTTTAATTATGCAAGTAACAAGCTAACTGTGGTAGGGCCACGCAACAGTCTTCGCTGTTGAACGAATGGGCAGGTCTGCCGGAGAGGACATGGTACTCCTCACAGAAGACCAGCGTGAAATGAAAGTGTAATATACTTTTGGGTTTCGTCTGGTTATTGGGGTAACCGGAGCCAACTTTGTTAAAGGATGGCAACGCATCTGCAACCCCATGGGTGATTCAAATGTCTATGGGCGGCAGTTATCACTTAACATCAAGTGAACTGCCAGCTCGCCTGCTACCTTCGCACATATAAAAAAAAATGTTTCGGTGACTGATCACGATCCGGTGCGAATATGTCACACGGATCAATTGGGTCGTCGATTGGCCTAGCCCTAATAGATATAACCCTGCCTTCGTATATATTATAGCATTATATATTTCACTATCATATAATAATCGTATTCTTGTCAAAATAATTTAATATAAAACAACAAGCCAGCCCGCGCAACTTCGTCTGCGCCAAATCTACCGCGTCCATACGTTTCGACTTTTAACATAGGGCCCATGTATGGAATTTATACTCAATCCATCCGATAAATTTACCTTATACCGCCATCTGTTAATATCTTATTGAAATCATAGATAGTGTTAACTCTTTGTCATCTAATAAACAAATAATTGATAATAATTGCAATAATAATTGTATTGCGACTATAAATTGAGATGTAAGCTATTCTGTCTTTCAAGTTGCATCAAACTGCATAAGGTGAGCAAATTTGATTAAAATCAGTTACTTAGTTTAGGAGGACATCGCGGACAAACGACGTGACACGTAATTTATATGTATATTTGGAAGATGTCTGAAACACAAGATTTTACAATAAATTTTAATTTTAATTCTGATTTATCTGTGGATAACAAGTATAATTTTTAACAAAAAAATAACCGACTTCAATCAGAAAATTAAAAACATTGTTAATACATATAACATTTAATGATGGCCCTCGATTTCTCTGGGATGTCATCATCAAATCCGGGTTTCCTTTCCGACAAAAAAAGAATCATCAAAATCGGTTCATAAGCGACGAAGTTATCCACGAACACACATAAAAAAATATATACGGTCGAATTGAGAAACCTCCTTCTTTTTTGCAGTCGATTAAAAATGATGATTTATTCTTTTGGAATAAATAACCCCACATATGTACTATAATTTATTAAATTTTGAAAAGTCAGTCAAAGGTTTGTATAAATAAAGTTATTTCTTCTTCATCTTCTTCTTCTTAAGATGTCTCTCCTTCTTTTTAACTTCGCAGAATAGCTTAGCTCTTCTCTCGCGGTCCATTCTCGGATGTTACACAACCATGACCTCTTTCTTCGTCCAACTTTACTAAAGTTATTTAAGGATATGTATTTTCCTTAATATTATCTAATAATTTTAATCGTGTGTTATTTTGAATACAACCACCACTATACATAGCGTACACCATACCAGGCACACCACATTCACTACCCGAGCGCGGGCCTTGACTCGCACCCAATTTACGACATCTGTGCCAGGCCACTTTTGAATCGCTTACATGGTATTGATATTAAATATCGAGTCTGCGTCCGATCGAGCGTTGGTAAGGTAATATATAATATAATAACACAACTTTTCAATTTAAATTTAATCTACATATTTTTTTGTAAAGAGTGTTTTTTTAGTAGAATAAATTTTATAAATCGATAATTACGAGCGTTTACATAAGTTAATTTTTTATTTTTCGTTTACAGGGGTCGCGGAAGAGGAAGGAGGTGGTTTCACTATAACGGCGTCTTCACGCACTTTTATTTTCTCCCGGGTCCGTGTACGATAAGCCACTAAGTAAAAAATGTATATTTTGATTGTAGGTAACTATATAAAATATATTACAATTTTCTAATGATAATGATACCAGCTTGTCAACTGTCGTCTGTCAATGTCAAATGACAAAAATACAGCAGTGAACACTACAGTTCGCTGACCTACAACTATCTTTTTAAGAAAAAGTTATTACAGACGAATAATTGAGAAAGTATACTTAGACGGCTTCTACCGGCTTTTTAAATTTCTCACCATGAATACTTCGATAGTGCTTACTATTGACATGTTATGTGAAATAATTCGTTAAATTATTAAAAACTATCGGAACGAATGGACCGCCGTTGTTTTCCAAAAAGTAAGTAAAGCATTTGATCATATTATGATATAAATTAAGATTATTTTAATTGTAAACTTACACACGTACATACATTTACGTGTATATTGAATTAATAAATTTAATAACATAATTGGAATCACCTAAACGTTGCTGTGACACCCACGCAAACGTTTTGTTTTGAGGTGATTCTTGCTTTCCCAGCATTCACTTAAAATTTTATATATGTTATTTTATATGGCCTTTAGAACTAAACATAACCATAATAGTTAAAAATAGACAATAATTATTTTATACTTTGAAGTTCATTGGCCACTGATAATATTAAACAGAACATAATTATTAGCTCAAATATCTTTGGAATAATAAGGAGACTTGTATTTTATATGCATAATGTTTGTTTACTTAAATGCATATAGTTTTATACAAAAAAAATCATATTCCCATGAATAGGAACATAAATAATGCATATAATGTTTACAGGTTTAGTCATTATCCATTATTATCCTTGAATGATGCATTTGAACAACTTCCTGCTTTGACTTTAAAGCAGCACAGTAATTCGCAAGACTGTTCTATTTTTATTCATTATTCAACTAGAAATAAAAATTGCACAGTTAAGTTAAGGTGAAGGTTTTGCATAAAATTGTTTTACCCAATGATTTAAATAATGAAAAATTTTCTCCTTGTGATTAATTTAAATATTGGCGTTAATACCATTGAAAGTGTATACTAAAACCTTTTAAAATTATGTTTCAATTCCTTTCATTTAATTTCACCTTGATTCATTTTATTTAAATTAGAACTTTTTTGCAGGACGGCACTATGATGCTGTTGCGTATGAACATGCGCACGGCACTTGCGGTGCTGTGCATCAGTGTTATACTGTTGATGCTCCTCTGGAACCGCTGTGGAGAGTTCTCGCATAGACCAAGTATGTTTGAAGCATGTAATGCTTGTACTGGATAGTCAAAGATAAGATAATAATAATATAAAATGAAAGATTTATCAGTGATTTTACAGAGCCATCAACATACTTTAAACTATATTATTTAAAGCACTTTGAAGTATAATTTTAACGAGTTTCGTCTCTTTCGAAAATCTGACAAGGACCTCAGAGAGATGTCGTGATGGTCCTCAAAATGTAGACTGTTTTTGAAATGTATAACTTACTTCAATTTACTATGACCATAATATTTAATCTTTTACAGATATTAATTATGTCACTGTTATACAACTATCACTATTATAAAGCAGTGATAGCTCAGTATCAGGCACTCGCCTAATATGCGAATGACCTGAGTAAAAATCCCGGTGCCAGCACCAATGAAATTGTTAACTTTAAGTGCTGACTTATGGTATTAAAACATTATTTCATTTATTTTTAATTGTTGTACAAGAAACTTCAATATTTTAGATTAGGATTTTCGCGTAATGCATATATGTACAGGTATTGATAGTTCTTAGTCTTACTGACCGTGGATCCTCACATGTATTACACAAAAAAAAGCTGCGACATTGTATCAATCTACATGTTAAGACTTATAACTAGGTCGTAGTCTAGTGAACTTAGGGTGCGGTGACTTCTGCTATTGCATAAATTGGGCGGGTACAATCAGAGGCTACCACAATACCTCATATAAGACGAGTGGGAATTAAATAACAAGGACATTTGAACTTCGTGAAGCGACTGACATAATGCATATGACGCGCAACGAACTTGAAACTTCTCTTTTGTGGCCATTTTATTTGTCGCCTGAACATGAAATTGAAGAATATCATTATGCATCACTACATAGTATAAAACAAAGTTGTCCCACTGTCTGTCTGTCCCTATGTATGCTGCTTAGATCTTTAAAACTACTCAACAGATCTTGATGCGGTTTTTTTTACTAGATAGAGTGAATCAAGAGGAAGGTTTATATGTATAAAACATTGCACCCGCGCGAAGCGGGGCGGGTCGCTAGCTGTAAACATTAAAACCCCGACACAAAAATAACTCAAATTATAGCTAAAAACCATCTCGATCACTTCAGTTTTTTCAAAAAAAACTTCACCATAATCGGTCCTTTTGTTAAGAGGCTACGAATCAACAGACAGACACACAGGTACACATATATACACGTCAAATTTATAACAACCCTGACTTTACGTCGGGGCTTTAAAGACACACAGATAAACACGTCATACTTATAACACAGCTCATTTTACGTCCACGTTGGGGCTTAAAACATCGGTGTGATCGTGTGCAGTAAGCTCGGCGCTGTCGAACGCGCTATCAGAGCACGGCGGCGAGCAGATCGAATGCCTTATCAATGGCGAGTACTCCGTCGCCTGCCGCCGCGAACGCGACCAGGTCTACCTGCCCTTCTCCTTCATACAGAAGTACTTTGAAGTGAGTCAATAGCTGTTTCTCTAACGCTCGGTTTCCGAAACACTAATCATCGCAGAAGTTAACTAATCAGCCGTAAAATAGTATGAGTTTCCAAAAGCACGCTTAAACTATTTGAATTGATCATTAAGAACATCATTCAGTGTTTCAGAAACCGGGCGTATGTGTGATACACCGCTCAGCTTCTTTCAGAGGAAGTTTTAAGTACGCCGCGTCTAAATGCTGGAACAATATACCACCGCCTATAAGGGTTATAAAAAGTTTAAGTAATTTTAAATTCAAATTGAAACAACATCTTTTGTCTTTCCAAAAATGCTTACCAGCTTCTAGACGAGTATTATCCACATACTTAACGCAAAATGTCTAATGCGTCCCTAATAGCCCCCGTGGCACTAATATAATGTATTTATGTGTATATAAAGTCCTTTTGTTTGTCTTTTTTTTTTTTAATCAATATTATTGCTAATAATTTTTACTTGCATTGCTTTCTTTCTGTTGGTCAATATTTGCCAGAAATTCTAACAGTGTTGCACAATTTATGTTTTTATTATTATTTAATTTTTATTATTTTATTTTAGTTTATTTTATTCTGGTAATATTTTCACAAGTTTGCGCATCTACCCGCACATTCCTCACATTCCTAGCATCGAAATGGCTCCACAGAATACCAGCATTGCGGAACTCTCCGTATTTTTTGCTGAGTGGAGACCATTTTTGACATGAACTCACAGCACAATTCATTCCTTATTACATATACAGTATGCATTTTTTTCCTTCAAAGGTTTCTATATGTCTTTTTGTTTCTTTATTAATAATTTTTATATTTGTAACTTTGTGTACTTATTTTGTTTTCCTTTTTTTAACTTGCTTTTTTTGTTGAAACGATGTTATGTTTTTATTTATCAATATGTTATGTTCATGTCATTTATTTTTTGAATTTTTTGTGCTGTTTGTTGGTTATCAAAATAATGTTTATGTCTATGTCTATGATACATGTGGTACATGATAATTTTGGCATTATTAAGGGCTTGGTTTGTTTCAAGCATTCATCATTGGCAGAACGATTTGATGATTCCCAAGTGTACGAAGCAGTTCTGATGATGAATCGAGCCTGCTTAGTACACTTGGAATTGGGATTCTGCTAGGCGCTCTAATAACCGCTGAACGCAAACTGTAGTGTACGACTGCAATCAATGTGAATTAAACCAGTACGAATATTGTATCACTGATACATACCTAATTGTTCATATCCTTTCATGTCGCATCGAGTCATTACGATATACCTACCCCGTCCAAAGTAATAAATTAACTCTCGAAAGAGTGTGAGACAGAGATAACGCGAAACCGAAATTAGCCGGTCGTCTCCTTTCAAAGGTAGATAGAAGTTATAAAATTCACGTGGACAGACAACAAACGGCTTTCACGTATGGGACTCGAACTCATGACCCCTGGCGCCAAAGCCAATAGCTTGGCAACTGCGTCACGGAGTAATAATTCCGTCAGGTATACGGCAAAATGACCAACACGGACGGCGTGGAGCGTTTCGAGTGGTCGCACAGCTACAGCAAGGTGTACCACCCGAAGAGGAGGTACGACCCGCGCGGCACGTTCGCCACATTCGAGAACTACAACGTGGAGGTGAGGGAGCGGGTGAAGTGCATCAGCGGGGTAGAGGGCGTGCCGGTGTCCACGCAGTGGGAGCCGCGCGGCTTCTTCTACCCCACGCAGATTGCCCAGTTCGGGCTGGCGCACTACAGCAAGAACGTCACCGAGCCGGAGCCGAGGGTGAGGGTGATCGAGGACGGCGAGAGGCACTCGGAGGGCTGGATCGTGAGCCAGGACGCGACTCTTACGAGGGAGCTCGACCAGGAGCTGAAGGCGAGGGTGCTAAGGTTCAGCACGGCGGACCACGCGTCCAGCCAGGTCTGGCTGAAGGTCAACATCAGCCAGGACTTCGTGCTGAGCTTCGACGCGCGTCTGAAGCCCAACTCCTCTGTGACGGCCGTGCTGCAGAACAAGGATAAGAAGGAGACTGTCTACCTGCACTACGTGGCTAGCAACCAGTTGATTTATGCTCAGGTGGGTGTTGCAATTGTGTTTTTTTATTGCGTTTTTGTTAACTCGCTTCTTGTCTGTCTGCCTGTTTAGTACAGGTGAACTAACTTGTTCTGCCTTGACTTAAAGTGTACTCGATGTAACTGTTCTGTATGAATATAGCTTAAAACAGGTTGAATTTACAATATCTTCATCATTTCGTGCCAGCTTGTTTGTTAAGGTTCGATATAAATTTCTTTGCCTTTGCGTTTTATTCGGTTGTTATTTTAGTTAATTTAATTTACTCAAAATTGCTTTCCAAAAATAAATTTTACATTAAAGCGTACTTCGTTTTAATGTTAAATTTATTTTTTTACTTCTACTATTTGAACACTACCCTACTACACTTCGCAGATAATTTTTTTACGGTCAGGTAGACATAGTCATAACTAGTAAATATCTTGACAAACCTTGCTATTATTCAAGGATTTTTAAGTAGTTTATTATAAGTTGCATCGAATGCTTCTAAAAGCTGACGATAAGCCCTCCCACACTATATCTTCATCTCCTATCGGAAAAACTCTCGTGAGCGAATGGAGCATAATCCTTTGTGATATCAATTTTACAAATTCCACGGTTGCCAAGGATGACCACATCTACCACGGCATCGGAACCGAGTTAAAGTGGCGTCGCGTTACCAGAGACCTGATCATAGACATGCAGAAGGGCTGGGCCCTTCAGGACCGGCCCAAGAGGAAATCGCCAAGGAACAAGTTTAAGGTTAGTTAGGAAGGCGATAAACTTCTTACCAACTTTTAATAAATAAACATTATATATTTAGACCGTAAATGTGGTAGGGCCACGCAGCAGTCTTCGCTGTTGCACGAATGGGCAGGTCCGTCCTGGGCAATACCACGACCCAGAAGCAGACCGGCGTGAAGTGGATGTGTTATACTTGTCGTCGTCTGGTGAGTGAGGTAGCCGGGCCCCTTTATTGAAGATGGCAACGCATTTTGTCAATGTCTACGGGCGGTGGTTATAACGAGGAACCATCAGCTCGTTTGCCATATTCTTACATAAAAATACTAGTTTTACGGATTTTCTTCGTGTTTATGGCCAGACAGATAGAGGTAACTGTGAGGGTCCAGCAAGGGGATTTAAGCATCGGTAATAAAATCAACGCGAAAAACGCGTTACATTAGTTCTTAGCAAAGTGCAGTACCTACTAACGTAAACTCAAGAAATCATTATAATTATAATTTGTCTATGTCTATATTTTGACCATGGATCCTGTAAAGAGCGCGAAATGCTTTAGGAAATAAAAATGAAATTAAAAGTTATTTAATTAAGAAAACGCTGTCGTCACTTTGCATGAAGCTTTTCCTCCGCAGATATCAAGCCTGATCCTGAGCGGGTCTGGTGCGGTGGGCGGCATCCGGGTGTCCTCCAGCGAGCACATGGCCCACTTCTTCGCCGCGGCCAATTGGCTCGTGCGTAGACAGCGGGCTCGCGGCGGCTGGCCGGTGGCGGCGCGCAGGCACGTGGCGCCTGGAGCCAGCGACCTCCGCCCCGGCTGGTAAGTCCCGTTGTGCCTCGTCATGTCGCGTCAAGCCAACTGGCTCGTGCGTAGACGACGCGCTCGGGATGATTGGCCGATAGCAGCGTGCAAGCACATGGCCACCGGAGCCGACGGCCTCCGGCCAGGCTGGCCAAATCCTAACAATAGGTTCGGGTGTGGCTACACCTGAAAGGTAGCCGCCCTTGGTGAGGCCACCACTGATTTCCCCGCGCATGATTTAGTCGATTCATTCGATCAGTTGGCCAGCGGTCGTTAGCCGGCCAACGACTGCCGTAAACGCCGTCCACAGCGGTATGGTCAAGCAACAGCAGTAACCCTTTTACGTCGGAGTGGTAGTAAAATGATAGCGGGCAACAAACGGGCAGGCACTCCGCGATGAGCCAGGGCCACGCGATCTCGGTGCTGGCGCGCGCCTACTCGCGCAGCGGCAAAGAGGCGTACCTGCGCGCCGCGCAGCGCGCCCTGCTGCTGCTCGACGTGCCGAGCCGCGCCGGCGGCGTCAAGGCCACCTGGATGGACCGCTACGTGTGGTGAGTAGCGGAAACTCGCTATAGCCTTGCCTTCCCCATTACACCCCATTCTCACTTCCCACCTTCTCGACCCCTTCCATCTACGTCTTGTGAGGCCTTGTCTTCCCCACTGAAGCCCATTCTCACCTGCCACCTTCTCGAGCCCTTCCATTTAGGTCTGGTGAGAAGGTCTACGGGAACTAACTATAGCCAATTCTTTCCTCCCGCCTTCTCAAACCTACGTCTGGTGAAGCCTTGCCTCCCCCATTACAACCCATTCTCACCTTCCACCTTCTCGACCCTTTTCATCTACGGCTGGTGAGGCCTTGCCTTCCCCGCTATAGCCCATTCTCACTGCCCACCTACTCAACCCCTTCCATCTACGTCTGGTGAAGCCTTACCTCCTCCATTACAGCCCATTCTCACTTCCCACCTTCTCGACCCCCTTCATTAGCGCCACCTCCACCTGTCACCACCCTCCGTCGGAACTTATTGATGGCCTTTAACTCCCTTGCATTCATTTAGATCAACAAGCAACAAGTATCATGTATTTAGTGTACACACACCCATAATATCACATATCGAAAGATACGTGCAAGTGTGATAGAATCCGAATATTGAATATACTTAGAGTAAGAAAATAATATACGTAGCGTCTGAAAAGTAGAAACAGCTCACCGCTGACGCCGAATGCATCGCGATAATTAAGGTCAAGCATTGCCGAACTGACAACATGAAAACACCTTAGTTATTTTGGCTACCGTCCAATCAGTCACAAAGGCCACCCGCCTCGCCAGGTACGAAGAGTACCCCACCACGCCGCCGCTGTTCGTGCTCAACGGCTTCATCTACACGCTGCTCGGCCTGTACGACCTGCACGTGATAGAGGGTGAGAACTCCATATCCTTAGCCAAGAAGATGTTCGACGACGGCATGGCCTCGCTGAAAACCCTGCTGCCGCTCTTCGACACCGGCAGCGGCAGCTTCTACGACCTCCGCCACTTCACGCTGGGCGTCAGCCCCAACGTGGCCCGGTGGGACTACCACGCCACCCACGTCAACCAGCTCTACCTGCTGGCCGGGCTCGATCCGGACCCGATATTGCTGAACACCGCCAAGAGATGGGAGGGCTACATGCAAGGCAGGAGGGCGGCCCACAACTGAACGGCAATGGAAGCCGAGCGTTCCAATTGTCCCCGTGTCGAGCGTTGAGATTGTAGGCGGAAACGGCGACTCAGCTCGCCGAGCCGCGAGACACGCCCATTGTTAGACGACTGGGATAGTATAATTGTGTAGCATTGCTCAGTGGCAGTCAGTGGCCGTTGTAAAATATACGCATAAACGTGTATGACTTTGGCAATGAGCGCTGGTTGCTGTTTATATAAGGTCTTTGGAAACTTGAAAAATAAAATACTGAATTTTAGTTTGAAATGTAACGGATGATCGAGGGAGGACCCGACAGCATTTTTTGAAGATGTCAAAATATTTATTGTGGAGTTCATAGCTTGGATTCTAAGGAACGAAACTCGTTTCGGTTATTACCAATTTTTATCACAATGTTATGAATGGTTCGAATTCACTATGCAAGAATTTTGTAGCGTTTTAAAGGAATGCACGAAAGCATAAATAATTGCAAATTTGCCGCGAAACATCATAATAATTCTTACTCTTGTATTGACAACATGAAATTGAAATCTTGCCCAATGTCTATTCTTGTTTTGTCACTTCTTAGACCTTTGGAATAAATAGAGAATATATTTTTCTAGTAAAAAACTATTAGAGGAATTGAATTTATAAGTTAAGTAGATTTCGTCACTGACACAAGTCTTATTTAGTTTTACGTTTCACTTGATCGTTTCGTTTTAAGAAAATAGAATAATTACTGGTAGTTATATGATAACATTTGGCTTTTTGTCTGTTCTATGTCAAAAATAAAATGCAAGCAGTTTTAAAGTTAACATTAGGTACTTATTATTTATTAATAGATTTTTAAGTACAAAGTAACAACTTATGAAGTAACAATGTAAATATTGTCGTAGAAATATCGCACCTGGTATAAATGTAAAACCGACTACTTTTCTTTACTTTTTTAAATACGTAACAACTAATTTGGAAATGATTAACACTTGTAAGTTTCAATTTTCCGACGACATATAAAAGACTTTAGATAATAAATAAATAGGCGAACGCATTCACGTATGTACCTTCTTACTGTATTTTGAGTAGTTTTAGAGTCTATAGTTCAAACGATCACGTTATTAAAGACCATAGCAATGTTCACATAGTTCCGTTTCATATTTGCTTATTCTAATGATGTATTTTGCATCTGTTAAAACTGTAATGAATTTTGCGGTACGCATAGACGCATCGGATATGATATTTTGTTTATATATTTATGCACACAGATTATCAAACGTAAAAATTCATAAAAAGAAAACTTAGCACGAAGACACTGTTTATCTCAACATGAAATTAGTTTAACTTAAAAGCGAAATTAATGATTATTTCTGACTAAGACTGACAGATTAGCAGAAATATACATTTGGAGTTTAAGAGTTTAATCTGTAGCAGTATAGTTTATAAGACACATAATTATAACCTCAAATCAGTTCTCGAATACTCCGAAACATTTTATATGGCAATTTAATATCAGAGTCGATGTACTTAAGCAATGTAAGTAAAAATAGGAACAATTCTGTAATTCGTTGCGTCATGTTCTTTTTGTTGAATTAATATGATAGGTATTTTATACATCATATCAATGTAAATATAGTGTCTATAGTTTTAATTGAAACTTTTTTGTCTATGGTCTATAGAACTCTTTATTTAATATGTAAGTTTTGTACATTTTCATTGTAAATATCGCTTGCCTTGCCCTCTGGTAACGAATTAATATTATTTTATTTGTATTTAATAATGTTTGTATAAGGTCGAATAATTTTACCTACTTTCTTAAATTTGGACATTGTTCATAAGATACAAGTGAATCAAAGTACTTATATTACTGAATTTCAGTTTTGAGTTGACACAAATAGTTGTCCCGTGTAGGAATCGAACCCACGACCCCCGACGCCGAAGCCAATAACGCCTTGGCATCTCCGCCACGGAGCCATCAATTTAATTGTTAATATACATTTTAACTTCAGATTTCTTAATTTTTTAGAATTCGTTATTTCTAACCGTGAATAATCGTCAATGTTTAATATAAACAATTCTAATATAGTTCCTCGGATTTGGCTCAGTATTTTAAACGTTTATTTTCGCGAATAATAAATATAACTTATACAAATACGACGCAAAAATTAATTATTTAAAATATTCTGAAATCACTGTACTGTTCGGCTGTGATCCGAAGCACAAATTTAATACAAATAATTAATATATAATTTTACACATATCTTCAAATAAAATGTAATTTATAATGTTTTATAGAAAAGGTAATAGTTATCAAGTAGACAAGTTTTTTCACAAAAAAAAATCTATTCCACGTAAACGATTTGGAAGTAACAATAATGTTCATTAACTGAAAGGAGTGAACTAAACATTTATAAATATATGAAATACACATCAACATCCTTCTAAAAATCTTAAGGATAACTCTCTTACAATGTGTCTGTCTATTAGCTCTTAGCCGTAGACAATTGTACTAAAATGTAGTTAGGGTACTTACCTATACAAAAATTATACTAATTTGGCTTACATAACTTACATTTATTGGTATAAGATGAATGTTCATTATGTTAACACATTTTTTGGGAATCATAATTGTGATGTTTTTGTTGACATAACTAGACAGGTCGGAAAAAATAACAAACTACACATTTTATTTTAAAATACATAACGCTAAATCTTACGCTTTTTTATTTATTTTAAGTCAATTATTAATATCCAAACAAAAAATTATTATTTATTATTTAGCAATTATCGTTTCTCTCCCTTTATCATATATATACCTACCTACATTGTGAAGGACTATAATTATCTTTTCGTATTTGTTACTACATCTTGTTTTCGAATCCCTTAACCGCTTATGGAATATTAAAATAATTGAAAGAATTAATCTAACTTTACTCTAAACTCATAGTTGCAAATGTACTACAGAGACGTTGGGCTGATTCCGAGCTTCGTAGAGCGCTGTCTCTGTCGCACGAAGCGCAAACAGCCCTGTAGTTAGTGAGTGATAGAGATAACGTTCTACAAAATCGAAAATAGCCGATTGTCTCTTTCCAAAGGTTGATGTGCAATATTGATTGAAAGAAAATATTTTTGTAAGAGAGTTAACGTAATTTTCTTAGTATTCTGTAATTTTTTTAAGTTTTATAATTTTTTCCTACTTTTGCGTGTGGCGAATTTCTGGCATTTTTTATTCAAATAAAAGACCAATATTGTCCACTTTAAACTATTTTCTAGGGTGACATCTCGCAATAACTTTTATATTACTTTCATCCCTTCACAGATAATCAATAATGATATATATGTATTATCGAAAACAGTTCTAGTACTTAGAAATCCTAGAAATATTTACATTGCATACCTACATGAACCGTGAAAGTTCTTAAATAATTTTTGTCTTAATTTCTTCCTGAATTATAATTATGATTCAAAATATTCTGTATCTCAACAAAGTGTTTGATTTATGTAATATTCGAATTTAACCCATGTATAAAAATTATCGTAGCCTTATCATAAGTTATACTTAACCTATTATTGTAAATGGTTCATAAATGACCAATTTCTAGAACATTCCAAAAAAAGAGCTTATTAGTAGTTGTACTCTAAAGTAGTTGTTTCAATTTGATTTTTTTTATTGTAACTATTATGTTGTTCTTCCACTTTTACTAAACTTGAATAAGAAATCTGTTGGAGAAATGGTGTTATATGGAAATAAATGTGTAGGTATCTACATATAAATATTATATAGCAATAGTTTCTCTCAGTTTTCTTTCAATCAAATGATACTAAAAATATCCTTCTGAGAAGAATAGTTTAAGTAATGTACTACTTAATTCATAATTCATATATATAATTCTTCTGTGTATGTCAATGAACGTGTATGTCAATGAACTCCTCCTAACGGCTGGACCGATTTTAATGAAATTTTGTGTGTGTATTCAGGTGGATTCGAGAATAGTTTAGATACACAAATTTATTCAAAAAAGTTTGAAATTTTCGTATTTAATATGTGTGTACGGGACAACGTCTGTCCGGTTCGCTAGTTCTTTAGAAATATTGACGTTTTAAAAGCATCGTTTGCAGATTGAGCCATTTTAAAAATGAAGTTGATATCATAAATAACTGTATCAAAAGTGGTAGAATTTTTACCGGTATATTTCATATGTTAAAAGGATTCGGATTACTTTTCACAAGTAGTTAACCGATTTTGTGTAAAATTTGAAGAATCATAAGATTTTATTAAAAATCTTACATTATAATACAACATTAATCATTTTAATGGTGAAGACAAATTGTCCTCTTAAAAAAATTCCGAAACTATAATATACTCTTTCAGGCAATAAATACTTTGGTTGACTTTTAAGATCAGTTTTTTTTTTATGTGAAAAGTTGTCAAACCAGCAGACGGTTCACCTGATGTTAAGTGAATACCGCCGCCCATGGACATCTGCTACACCCGAGGGTTTGCAGATGCGTTGACAACCTTGTGAAAATTGGGCTCCGGTCACCTCACTCACCAGACGAAACGCGAAAGTATTATACTTTCACTTTACGCCGGTCTTCTGTGAGGTCGTGGTACTTACCCGGACGAGCCTGCCCATTCGTGCAACAGCCGAGGCTGCTGCGTGGCCCTACCACCGTTAAAGATCAGTTGTGCTTAATGTTTTCCATGATTTAGGCAATTTATTAAAAATTATCTACATATATCTTGGGTCGATGGCCAATTATTATATTATGATACTTGGTGTAATATTTCAATACTATATATAGCTGAGTTGAAACATTCTTTTAAAATTCATACAAACAAGACAAATAAGTAGAAATATATATCTAGAACTTGGGAGTAGTACACAACTGTTGAGTTTCTTGCCGGTTTCTTCTCAATGTGAATAAAGATATTTTATTACTATTATTATAACGTTTGCAAAATTTTTCTCTAGCACACATGCGCAAACCTCCGTTATCTTACATAGAGTTACGCCCACAAAGCCGACATTACGCGGCATCGCGATTGTTCACGAAGGCTCCGTCTATATTTCATTGCTCCAAGCGCTTGAATTAATATTTCTTCCTTGCCAGTATTATGGTTGTGTTGCATGGATCCATATAACATCATTGTATAAAATAGGTTAAACGAATGTACAGCAACTCTGTTCCAAAAGTGTATGTAGTTTTAGAGTTAGTGGTGCACCTGTGAATGACAATAAAATGTCTCAGATCATAATTTCGTCTTATTTCTTCGTGTGTCTTTATTTCATAGAACTTGGATATGTTATGCAGTCTTTGTGATAATCTTATTTATCAATAAATATTGTGTGTTCAGGAGACCTAATCAGAAAATTAAATATAAATAACTTTTAAATTGATTGGAACTGACTTATTGACAATTCAATTGCTTAATATGCACGCTGTGTAAATAGGATACAGCAATTCAATTCAATTAATGTGCAAGTCAAGTGTTTGTAATTTTAAGTGTCGGAAGTATCACGTGCGTGATAACCGTCGCCCATGGACATTTGCAACACTCTAGGTTGCAAAGGCGTTGCCACCTTTTAATGAAGTGGGCTCCGGCTACCTCACTCACCAGACGAAACGCAGAAGCGTAATACTTTTACTTTACGCCGGTCTTCTGTGAGGTCGTGGTACTTCCCCGGACGGACCTGCCCATTCGTGCAACAGCGAACTGATGCATGGTCCTAACACTGTTGTTACTTGGGTTGCTCAATTATTTTGATTTAAAATCGAGCGCCCGGACACTGAGCTATCACTGCTCGAAGATGTTATGAAGTCTGCCAATCCACGGTTGGCCGCGTGGTGGATTATGCCCTAGTATCTCCCTGTACAAAAAGAGACCTCTTCCCAGCATTAGGAAATATTTTAGCTGCTACTCTACTTTTTTATAGGTATATGTATGCAAGCAACCGGCAACTACTGAGCCAATTCAAGTACAAAAATTCAAATCCACGAACTATTAAAATAAGTGCTAAATCTGCGTTGCATACATCTTCGGCTTTACCCTACTGCTGCAAAAGAAAGATTTATTAAAAGTGGAGTTCCGTGCAAAAGTAAATGCAAATAATAAGTGGCCTGTAAAATAGTTTTGAATCTAAGTCGTGGTGTGGCTCACGGATGACCCGCGTGGCCCACGCTACTAATATTTTTGTATGATATTAGCGTGTAGTGGCCTGTAAAATAGGTTTGAATCTAAATCGTGGTGTGACCCCAACGGTTCTGGTTTGGCTCACCGGTGAGCCGCGTGGGTTCAATAAAAAGTATACTATATTTTCACGGGTTCAACGTGTTAAAGCGCTGTGACAAGCTTTTCTATATTCATACGTGCAACTGTTACCTTAGACAGAAAGAAACAAAATTTTTCACTCTCACATGCTATTCTATTCTTTTATGTATTAATTTAATAGGGGTTCATAGAAAATGATTTAAGTAATCATTTAATTAAAGTTGTTACTTAAACGGTCGCATCTTGAAAACTTAAATTCCAATATATTTCGCTGAGTTTTTGAAAATTCCTTCAATGCAACAGGTACCTACTCCATACATATATACTGGAAGTCTGGAACTCAGGCATTCATTCTTAATCATGGTGTCTAGCTAATTAAATCTAATTAAAAATATAATTGAAAAATACACAATAATTCGTTATAATGATTCCACTCATAAAAATATTTCCGTAAAAAAACTAAGAAACAAAAATGAAATAAAGTGAATTTCTTCGTAGATGCATAATTATTTTGCCCCGGTGCTTTTTTTCTATTTCTAAAAATTAAAGCTGAAAACCAACGATGAAGAAATAACGAAAACAATTTCTAAAATAATTTTCTTACGGACAAAATATTTTTATTAAAATAAGTGAAAATATAAAACGCTCTAAATAAGTTGAGATGGGGAAAAAAGTGTGTGTAATGTACGCTAGTAAGAAGTTATAACAAAACGCATAACAAAAAATGCACTAAACACTAATCCGCACCCGCAGTGGAGTCGGGTGGTGGAGTGAACTATGCCCTAATACCCTCTTTAAAGGGGTAGTCTTTGCTACACAATGGGACTTAAAAAGGCTATATATTACTAATTATTTTACTTTATGATAAGCTGCTCACACCCAACAAAAGTTTTGGTTTCAACCAAAAGGTAACCAAGGTTCAAAAAATAGGTTAGATCATTTTTTTTAGATAACCAAAGACAAACTAGTTTTAATGACAAAGTTGGCAGCACTAGTTGTCTTGCCGTTTGCTCAATGGAAAGGTTATCTCTGTCTGTGGTGATATTACATATAAACATCATAAATATCTGCCTGTTTTTTTCTAAGAATTACCCAAGAACAGGAATGAAAGTGTTGGTAAATATAACACGAATATCTTAGATTTACAGCAAAATATTTCAATATGAACAATGAAATTAACTTGTTTGATGTACCATTATCTCGGCTCACAAACGAATCTCGAAATTTGCTATCGTGCTTACTAAATACGACAAAAATAATAGCAAGTGATGGTCCCGAGAAGTTACCCAGGTATTATAAGCAATGTTGTAAAATAATTTATATATTTACATATAAATATTAACTTAAAAAAAGATGAAACATTTTAGAAACACAATTTTTCTTAAAATTCGAAGTCCTTTACTTATAATTTCCGTAGAGAAGTTGCTTATTATTATGTTTATGCCCCGGAATGGATCTTGAGGAATCGTTTATATTATTTTACAGAACTCAAAAACTTGTAAAAGTTTTAAGTGTTAAATGAATTGTAATTAATTGTACTTTACATTTTGTGCCAAATATGATTTCAGAGATTGGAGAGGCCTGGCATCATTAGCCCAAATATCAGCAGAGGTTGCTAGTAATATAAACCTATATCCTGATAAAACTGCCAAAGTATTAGAAATATGGATGAATCACTCTCAAAACACCGCCTATGTTGGCAATCTCCTCCAATTCCTCCAACGTTTGGATAGATATGATGTTTGCGATGACTGTTTAGAATTACATAGACAGGGACAACTTATAGGTAAGTGTATATAAAGTATTTATTTTTATTTTTTTCAGAATGCCATACTTGTGTTATTTGAAACTTAACATAAATGTATCTGACGGCATAACACATCAAAGTTGTTGAATGGATGTAAGTGAAAATTTTAATTGGAAACTTTTTATCTATGAATTTACTGATTGCACACCATCAAATGTTTACCATAAACTAAAACAACTATGCAACATATAGACTTAAAAGCTTTTTAATTGTTCACACCTCATACAATTTTCCCAAACTTCCACAGATATACCAAATGAAAACCAGGCACAAGTAGCTTTAGATATTCCAGATGATGACAGACTCATTACATATGAGGACCAAAAATATGGCGAACCACAATTTTACCATGCCTTTGTCCTTTTTGCACAAGAGGATAAGGACTTTGTTGATGAACTGTTGCAGCGAATGAGACAAGAAAACTTAAGGGTATTAACTGAATACAGATAAAACTTAACATTGGCATAATAATAGTATATATAACTAACTCTAAGTGATACTTCTCCCAATTCATATATCCATTTACTGCTGGATTTTGTGTTAACATAATATGGCCAGGTCATTTTGATAATTTTCTTTTATAATTATACATGTAAAAATATTACCTTTATTAAACATATGATTTTACTAGGTAACTATTTTATTAACTAACTTTTACTAGGTAAAAAATCTATTGCTTAATCTATGTGATATTCATTGATTATATTGTCACATAGTCCTTTCATTACAGTTGTGCACATTGGATGATCTGCTCCCTGGACATGCAACCCAATATACTCCCGTTTCTAAACTGATAAAGGAACGTTGCCAACGAATTATCCTTGTATGTTCACCTGAATTCCTTAGGAGTCCAGCAAATAGTTTCTATACAGAGTTTGCTCAAGCTGTTGGTATTGGTATAGTATCTAACTTATTTTCTTATGGCCCATTATGTTTTACATATCTGATTTCTAATAATTACTTAATAATAAATCACATTCTTTTACATGTGTTGTTTGGTGTGTAAAAGAAATATTTTAAATGACCATTAAAGACAGTGCTTTAAGGGTTTGTAGTTTGGTTTTAGTTGAGTAATAGTTAATATTGGTCTTTCTTTTCAGAAAATAAGGAACGGAAAATAATCCCTCTCATGTACAGAGAGTGCCATTTACCCTCGCCCTTGAGCTACTATCACAAACTTCACTACAGTCCTCCTGGTCAGAAGACATCATATGACTTCTGGCAGAAGCTTAGTCATTCACTTCAAGTAAACAATATAGCCAGGTATATTAATTACAGTTAGAATTTCGGAAATGATATTGCATAGTGTAAATTTTGATAGATATTTCGTGTGAACTATTTCCTATTAATATAGGTTGCAGGTTCCAATCCATGCAGCCTACAAACAGTTATTTGTGTTCTCACATTCAAAAACTCATAGAACCCTCGTTTTTTTGAGACGTAAAATTATTTAATAAAAATGCCGTCGACACATATTCATGTTGAATAGTGAGTTCATTTATATTTTTTGGAGTAAAACTTCTTTAGGCGCGACTAGGGAGTAACTCAGATTTTTTCTGACGGAAGTAACGTCATAAGTATATGTCATATTTTTAAAATATAACATATACCTATGACGTTACTAAATATTTAATCATTTCAGTGATATATGCCGTAAACGCCAAAGAAGTTTTACTTTAATCGCGCGTAAAGGTTACACACACACACTTTTTTTTCTTAACTTTACAATTTTCCAGGATAAACAACACAAATTCCAGTCACTCGGCACTAAGAATTACCGAGGTGAATTCAAACACCATGTTGGATTCAAGAAACATTGCGAGAAATACCAATAGTGCAATTAATTTTAGAAAAATAACAAATGGCTACCCCGAAAAGAAGACTGAGCAGTTACAGTTGCCTGGAATACCTCCAGTAAAGAGTGAGTCAATGTCGTGTTTGGACAGTCGCTCTATAGGCCAGATATCACAGGAGGATAGCAAATCCCATTGCAGTTTGAACCAATCGCCCAAGAGGAAAGCTAAGAAACCGAATAAGATAAAAGATTTCATCAGCAGTTTGACAAGGAAGAAGAACAAAGAAGCAATTCCTTTAGATGGTTGAACTCTAAAAGTAAGCTGCTCCAATATAGCACTTTAATTGTTATATTTACCAATAAATATTGATACTCTAAATTGGGTATGTAAGACATCCTACAGATTATGGCCATACAGCTGTAAGCCTCCACTGAGAGGAGAAAAAGTCTTGTATCTAAAATAATGATGAATGATATTTATGTAAATAATGTATAGTGATTAGTTTAGTGCCTTAAACTGTTGTTGACTCTACACTTCTTACATTGTCTAACACTCTCAAATCCTGCAAGAATTATATTTATTGATATTTTTTTTATAATGCAAGCCAGCTTAAAAAAGCTATATCAAGCAGTACATTTAAAGTAATCATTAATTTAATAAAAACATTCACCAGCAAGAACAACATTCATAGATGTCAAGGTTAAAATTAATGGATACCTTACAATATCTTTAAAAAAAGTTGTTTCAAATGTGTTTATTATAAGGAAATAACTCTGCATAGAAGTAAATTTCTTCAGTCTGCTGGTTATGATGATTTAATTGACAAATAAATGCTTTTTATTCCAATCAAATCCAATCAGCTTTTTGCAGTCCATTGCTGAGGGCTCCCTATGGGCATGCCAAAGTGCACGATCTTCCACAACCAGCGACCTTGCTCAGGTTATTGGTTGCTTTTTATTATCTTGACTAATATGAAATGTCAAAATATAAAATTTACAGTTTTAGAATATATTATGTAAATTACTAAGAAAACTAGTACAGGGTTTTGCGTTTGTTTAAGACAAATAGCTAAATGACATTTTTGAGATTTTTACACTAGGAAACAATTTTTATAACCCACACTTTAAAATTAACTCTACAGGCTTTAATGCTTTCAATTGATAAACAATAGCCAACCTAGCTATTTCAAATCATTTGAAGGGATAATTGAAATAGAGTTTTGAAACTTGAACTACTCTACTTGAACAAGTTTGGTTCTATTAGTGTTCATATTGTTTAATTCATTAGCAATGTTCATTATTAATATATCTTATTACCTCCAATTAAAAGCGAATTTTAACAAATGTTTCTTTCAATTATGGTTTATTTATTATTGTATCATCAAGTGCTAGAAAGGACATAGTCCTTTTGATTTTGATTAAATTTAATTGCTAGAATATGGTGACATATTTCGCACTTTCAATTGGCAGCCATCTATCACTTTATGATCAAAGTGTTTCCTCAACTCAAAGTAGAATAATTAAGCTTGTACTGTAAATAAAATTTATATTTTCTATGTTGATATTTACGAGATTTTACATTGATACTGCATAAATAAATAATCACTCCTTAATTTTCTTTACTTTTATTTACATCCTAATCCCAGACCTATTACATCTGTATACCAGAACCTGTTGGATGATGCATAATCATAATGTTTTTATCTATACTAGCTGCTGCCCGCGACTGCGTCTGCGTATAGGGGTTCTTCTTCTTCTTTTCGAGTCAAAAAAATTTAGGGGTGGTCCACCACTAACATTTAAGGGGATGAAAAATGTTATCCGATTCTCCACCCTGGCCGACATGCACACAATTTCACGAAAACCGGTCGAACCGTTTCGGAGGAGTTCAATTACAAACACCGTGACATGAGAATTTTATACAGCGTGTCTTTACAATCGCGACAATAAATGAACACACATATAGGGAATAACTTTTTAAAATTGTATTAAACATTTACATTCTTTAAACATCAATATTTACAGTTATTAAATTTTCTAAAACAAAGAATTTTAGAACACCTTTACGCATAAAACTGTAACGAAAAATATGTAAAGGTCAAAAAGCATATGAATGGATTGAATGAATTTAAAAGAGATAAAACATATTGTTAGAAGGAGAGGCTTGTAAGACGACGCTGTGGTGCGAGTTGTATAGGTGTTACAAATTTTATTTCTTTTTTACTTAATTAGTTTGTTTGAAAAATATTTGTCTTTTTCATTATGGATTTTGTTTAACGTTAATATTTTTTTATAATTATTGGCAATTAGCGTTAGACGTGTGTTCATTTACTGTCGCGATGATAACGACACGCTGTATATTAGATAGATGTGAAACCTGTATTACAAAATATGGGGTTAATATTTTTTATAATATTTCTAAAAAGTATAAAATATCAGCCTATACATGTCCCACTGCTGGGCAAAGGCCTCCTCTGTACAGAGGGTATTAGGGCATAGTCCATCATGCGGCCCCACTGCGGATTGGCGGACTTCACATATCTTCGAAATATTTTTTTTTTTGTGATGAAAATATGCAGGTTTCCTCACGACGAGCACTCGATAAATCGGCACTTAAAATTAACTATAACATTATTGCCAGCACCGGGGATCGAACTCAAGTTGCTCGAGTATATTGAATTAAAGGCGATACTGAACTATCACGGCTATTTCTAAAAGGTGTATTTTTATCAGAACGCCATAAATTCCATAATCCTTCAACAAAATACTCCAATTTAAAGTTTATTCTTACTGCTATTGATGAGACAAAGAGACAAGTAGAATAAATATGAATTAAATATTAAAAACTCTAAGTATTTTATAAAGAACTAGCGAACCTCCCCGGCTTCGCACGGGTGCAATGTATTATACATATGAACCTTTCTCTTGAATCACTCTATCTAGTAAAAAATCGTATCACGATCCGTTGTGTAGATTTAAAGATCTAAGCATACATAAGGACAGACAGCGTTATGTTTTTATTTTTTACTATGTAGTAATGCACAGCAAAGAGACGTTTACATTTCAAGTGACATTTTACCACAGTCACTTGTTTTGCCTTCCCGGAACCCCTCCACTAACACTTAAATTTTATGGTATGTTATTAAAGTTCATATTCTTCATTTAAAGACTTTTAAGTATTATTACGAATCTTTTGTACGGGAATCCATAAAAACAACACTTTTAAGACTTTTTCAGGCAACTTTTGAATTCTTTTCTTTCATAATCACCTTCTGATATAATAAAAAACACAAACAAAAAAAAGTGAAATTGGTCCAGTCGTTCATGCGTGATGGCGTGACCAAGGGAAATAGAATAGGGATTAATTTATATAAATATAAGATATCACACATCTGACAACTATTCTTTTTTTATTTTGTATTTCAAAAAGCTCGTTTATATCAGGTGGTTCATCTGATGTTAAGTTTAAATGGATACATTTAGATTTATATCTATAACACCTGAGAGCTTTCAGATGTATTGACAGTCTTCAAAAAAGTGGGCTCCGGCTACCTCATGCACCAGACCAAAAGAGGAAATTTACAATTTGTAGAAAAAAAAACAGTCTCGCTATTGCACGGATGGCTCCGGACTAGGTCCGTCCGAGGAAATACCACGACCTCATAGAAGAACAGCGTGTACGTGTTATAATTCTGCGTTTCGTCTGATGAGTGAGGTATCTTGAGCCCACTTAATTAAAAGGTGGCAATGCATCTGCAACCCTAACGTTACTGCAAATGTCCATGGACGGGGGTTATCACTTAACACCATGAACCACCAGCCCGTTTGTCACATTCTCACATAAAAAAATAAGTGTCTTGAATACTTTATATATTACATCTGTATATAATATATATCAATGTTTATAATGAAATGTAAAAAGGCTGTATGGGAAAATCCCTTAACGTTCAAAATTAAAATACTAATAGAATAATAAAAAAAAGTAAATGTCAAAATAGTCAAAAACAGTGGAAGTGGAGTGGATGAACATTTAAAAAATAACATGAGTATCTAACCTCAATATTTATGTTCTACTACCTGTAATCTGTATCATTATGAATGTTACTGTAGACCAAGTGTACACATCAGTTGCATGTAATCGTATTCCAGAAGTAGCGGACTGGAATAATGAAGGCCTTATCTGTTTTGGAGCCACAAATGCTGTTGTTGTTTATGATACGGTATGTTTTTGATTCCAGTTGTAAAATAATGAATAACAAGTTTTTATTTTATTATATACTCGAGCTGATCATTGTATTATGAATATTTTAGAAGCAGAAAGATAAAAATCCCCTCTCTGTCCTCTGTCACCACAAATCTAAAGTGAACTCGGTGAAATGGCTACAAAAGTCTGATGGTACTTGTACCGAGTTTGTCTCCTGTTCAGCAGATAAGACTGTCGCTATTTGGACACTGCTTGATGGAACTTGGAAGGTGACTAGTTCTCTGAAGGGACATAACGATGGTGTGACATGTATTCATGGTATTTACACAAATGAATGTGATCTAGTAATTTATAGTGGGTCAATTGACTCTACTGTTAAAGTATGGGAAAGGTGTAATGGTAAGTGATATATATTTTTTTTGGTATTTTTTTTATTTTTATCAGCAGCCACATTTTTGTATATTCTATACATATTACTGTGTAACAAGAATAGATCAGATAGACCTAAAATAAGTCAAGTAAATCTGCCTGATTTTAACATGACTGGTAAATAATTGTTTGATGAAAAATGGCACATGAATAATTGATCATAAATTGATTTGGTTGTTTCTCAACCATATAATTTATCCCCCGTCCAAAATAAATTTCCTAAACATTATTTTATTAGGTAGTAAAAAATAAAAATTTTAAGTGGACAGTCAATCACTGATGTCATCATTCAATCATTGATTGTACAATAAATAAGACCGCCTTATTGTTACTATATTACCTTATAAGTTATTTTTGTAATATTTCTCTTATATATTTATGGTGTTTAATAAAGCATATATAATAATAATAAATAAAATTTCTTAACAATAATGATTTTCAGGTGTATCTTCACTAAAACAAACTATAAATTTAAATTCTGGTCTTTGCTTGACTTTATGCGCACATTTGCTTCCGAAAGTCATCAAACCCATTTTGTTTTGTGCTCTTGATGATCACAAGATACATTTGTTTGCTGGAGAGGATTATCATAGAGTGCATACGCTAGTTGGTCATGAAGATTGGGTCCGAGGCCTTGATGTTCTTAATGTTGGTAAGTAAATTTGAATAATATTAATTTTTATAAACTTTGCAACCATAAAGACACATGTACACTTAACATTTTTCTGATTTTTAGGGTTCCATACCGTTAAAGGTAAAAAAGGAACCCTTATAAGATCACTCTCTTGTCCATCTGTCTGTCCGTGTGTCACCTACCTAGCAAGTTGAAATTTATAACCAGATATTGAGGTCTATAGTCCCTATTATGTGTAAGTCAACAGAAAAAAGATATGGACAAATTTAGATTTTTGCGAAAACTTGTAAGTAACAAAATTTACTTGAATTTTCAACTTTTTATATTTTTCAGAATTTTTCCTTCAATTGTGCTGTAAGACCTTGCTTTTTGCCAAATTTCTTGATGCTATCTACCCAATCCAGTGATATTTTTTTTTATATTAAAATTTATAATGCAATCTATCTAGCGATATTCAGCATTAGGTTGGTATTTGTAGGTTTTGGGCTTGTGCGAGATTGTTCAGTAACAATATCGCTTCATCAATATGCGATCTACACATTCACAATAATAGATCTTGTGGATTTTTGGGTTTGAGCCTTCGTGGCGTTTTCACTTCGTTCATTAGATCCATTGCGAGTACATTAGGGTGGTGTGTGATTCTTGTTTTGTATTTAGACATCCTTTCCTTTATTTCGTCTTTTACTGTTTTAATGTTAAGGTTGGGGTGTAGTCTATCATTTGTAATGTACCAAGGTGCGTTTGCTATCATGCGCAGCATTTTAGATTAAAATCTTTGCAGGATTTCTATGTTAGAGTTTGCCGCTGTACCCCATAGTTGCACGCCGTAGCACCATATGGGTTTAATTATGGCTTTATAAATAAGTAACTTGTTAGTCATTGACAACTGAGAGTTCTTCTGCAACATCCAGTACATTTTTCTGACCTGTTGTCCCATTGCTAGTCTTTTGGTATATATGTGTTTTTTCTATGTGTCTAGGTACATTGCCAAATACTTTACCTCATATTGGGGAACTTGGAGTTTAATGTGGCTGGAGAGCAAATGTCACGTCTAGTGGTGAATGTCACTTGGACCGATTTGGATTCATTCGCCTTGATACGTCAATCTTTAAGCTATTTCGCAATATTGTCGAGGCTATTTTGGAGTTTTTGGGTGGTATTTTTTGGAAAGTCGTCCGATGCCAGAACTGCTGTGTCGTCAGCGAAGGTGCCTGTTATAGTGGCTTTGGAAGTCGGTAGATCTGCAGTATACAGAAGATACAAGGTAGGACCCATGACACTGCCCTGCGGTACGCCTGCATGGATTGGACATAGTGTTGCCACTTCTTCGCCATGTTTTACAAAGAAATTTCTGTTTTCTAAATATGATCTAATGAAGTTGTAATATTCGATTGGTAGCGATTTTTTTTATCTTAAATAGCAACCCATCATGCCATACACGATCAAAGGCCTGTGAGATGTCTAGGAATGCAGCTGTGCAGTATTGTCTCCTTCCAAAAGCAGTGTTAATGTTGTTCACAAGCCTATGTACTTGTTAAGTAAGTGAAATTTACCAATTTTATTATGGCGGTATAATGGGTTGTTATGAAACCCTCGGCGTAAGAGGTCGACTTTCGCGGTCTTCTGTGAGGTCATGGTACTTAGCCGGACGAGCCCGCCCATTCGTGCAACAGTCAAGGCTGCTGCGTGGCCCTACCACTGTTAAGTTGTATTTTACTGCTAAATATCTAAGATCTGTAATCATTTGTTTTCCTGTAGATGAAAGTTCGATACTGCTAGCATCCGCATCTCAAGATACGTATATCCGCCTGTGGAGGATCAATTTGTATGAAGACATTGAATTAAGTAGTGAAATTCGAATTGAAGGGAAACTCTTCACTGCATATGACAGAAAGTGGTCCGTAAAACTGGACGCTGTTTTGGCTGGACATGAGGGTTGGGTTTACGCAGTTCAGTGGCATCCGGTGCGTTATGATGAAGGTAGTAAAATAGTGCATAGTTTTTGTTTTATATAAATATTATGCTTTCATATGCTGCTAATTTATACGTATGATTGCTTTAATTACATACAAAAAAAATTATACTTACTCCAAATGGGATCCTCCAGCAACTCTGGAACCTACAAGCAAATGGAGAGGAACTAAAACTATTACAACCAACTTTGGTCATTAGCAACAACATTCGCGTAGCTATTCTTCAAATACATATGAAAGCAACTGTAATTAAGATCTGTTTTACATATTCTTAGGAAATTACAGTCATTCTTACAGTATGATATGACTTTTATTTCAGAATGCAAGGTTAAGGCGCCGGTGTTTCGGTTGCTGTCGTCATCGTTGGACAAGACACTTATTATATGGGAGCCGGAGTGCGCTGAGCTCGGCAAGGGCGCGTGGGTGGAGAGGGTGCGCGTGGGCGAAGTGGGCGGCAACGGGCTCGGCTTCTACGGCAGCCGGTTCGGACCCGGCGGCAAGTCGTTCCTCGGCCACGGTTACAACGGATCCTTTCATATGTGGGCGTTGAACGTGGTGAGAATTGATATTGTTCCCGGACGACTTTAAAAATAAGCAGAATACTGATCATAGCAAGTTAAACTGAGATAGACAGTGAATTGTCACTAATACTAATATTGATTAATGTGAGACGTTGAGAGTCCGAAAGCGGAAAACTGATTGGTACTAGCCGTTGGTACTAGACCTGTGACTATAATTTATTTAATCGGGTAATTCAATTTCATAACTGTGGTAGGGCCGTCCAAATTAATAACAGGGAACACTGTTGCACGAATGGGCAGGTTTGGGGTAAACACTACCTCACAGATGTCCAGCGTGAAGTAGAAGTGTTACACTTCTGCATTTCGTCTGGTGAGTGAGGCTGCCGGGGCCCACTTTGTTAATAGGTAGCAGCACATCTGCAGCCCTAAGGATGTTGCAAGTGTCAACGGACGGGGGTTATTATTTAACTTCGGGTGAAACGCCAGCACATTTCCTACCTTCTCACAAAAGCAAAAAAAATATTGATGTGATGGTATATTTTGCATACTAATTACCCTTAGGCCAACTTTCTAAATTTCATCTCCGACGTCAACAGTTTGTGTCATCGTCATCATTAAGTCCAAAATGTCCATTATTTAACAAAGGCCTCCCCTTGTGAAGGCCACAACAGTTTGTTTGCCACATTAGTAATTTCGTGGTTGATTTTTGTAATATTATCAGGTCGTGTTTTTCAGGAAACGAAGCAGTGGCAGCCGCAGGTGGTTTGCGGGGGCCATTTCGGCAGCGTGGAGGACACGCGGTGGGAGCCCGGCCGGGGCCGGTATCTGCTCAGCGTGTCCACGGACCAGACCACCAGGCTACACGCCCCGTGGAACACCAGCAGAGGTGAGGGCACCTGTTCCATTTGCGCTCGCTATATGATTGTATTCGACGCTGGACAGAGAGTGTTTGTCTGGACTGATTGACTGTTTCAAGGTCACAGTCTTATCAGGCCTGTAACCAACTGAGCGTGAGAAGGGTTTTGTGGTAGCCGAATCAATAAATCTGGATGGGTAAAGTCAATATTTTAAGATAAAGCGTATCTGTCGCTGATCGGGTCCCCTGATTTCCCCCGCTGCCTTTTGGCGACCGTTTATATCCTGTCGCCACTCGAGACAGAGCTATCTAACTGTCTCCGTCCCTCTTCGGGTCATTTCTCGGCCCGTCCTTTGGTGAGCGTCTATTCTTTTTTAAAAAATTGCTCTCACTTTAGGATAACATTATCCTGTGTTGTAAGGACGTTTTCACAAACATAAATTTCACACGGATAAAAGCCCACATGCGAAAGAACTATCTGTGTGGGTCGCACAAATAGTTGTGTGGGAATCAAACCTGACGCCGAAGCCAATACCTTGAGAACTGCGTTACGGAGTCACCATATTAGAGAGTCTATTATCCGTCGCGAGCCGAGACGGATGTATCTAGCTATCTCCTTCGCTCACGGAGGCCGTTCGTCCCGTTCGCAGGGCGTCGGTGGCACGAGATCGCCCGGCCTCAAGTGCACGGCTACGACATGGCGTCGATAGCCCCCGTGGGGGCGTCGGCCTTCGCCTCGGCCGCCGACGAGAAGGTGGTGCGCGTGTTCAGCGCCCCCCACAACTTCCTGCACAACTTCGCGAGCATCGTCGGCGAACGGCTGACGGATGGCCAGACGGAGGGTGGGTAGCCGGCGATACCTGATTTTATACCTAAATAAGTTTGTATAATTGCATGCAAAAAAAATAACAAAACGAACAATACCCCAGAGATAGAGTGCAGGTCTAGTTTAGTGAACCAGAGGTACATTTTTTGTGGACGTTCAATAAGAGCTTAAGTTAAGCCTATATTGAATAAAGATACTTTGACTTTGATAACTAATAGTAATAATAGTATAGTAAAAGATAAGTAATCACTACATTCTAAAAAAAAAAGTCCGCCCCCAACCTATACTAATATATCAATAATCAAATTTCCCTTTAATTTAACAGTATAGTCTCCATTATATATTTCTAAAGAAACTCTCTTATAGGAAACAGAAAAACACCACCAACCTTTGAAATTTTCTAGCGGTGACCTTGAAATCATATTAATGATTCCAGGTCCCGAAGGGGCTTCGGTGCCCTCCCTGGGCCTCTCCAACAAGGCAGTCTTCAGCGAGAATCAGGGCGACGGTGATGAAACGGACGGTTACTTCGTACCAGTAGTGATGAACGGTGAGCTTGGCATACCCCAGCCTCACACTAGCGAATCTAATTATAAACATGTGTATTATACGTGAAATTTTAATGAAATGAAGATTAATTATGAAATCGATATGCACGAAACAAGTAGGTAATAAATATATGAAGAGAATTACAGAATGCTATATGCCTGTGTGTAGTTGAGTTAATTTAGAAAAACACTACCGTAAAACATTCTGATTTAAATAAATTAAATTGTGATATAATTTAATCTTAAGCTATAGGGGTCGTTTTACAAACACGAAAACAAAACTGACTTTAAATATCTCGCTCTGTATTCATTCTATAATTGATTTTCCGGAGTTCCCTAATTATCTCCGGAGCCCAAGATCCAGTTCCAATGAAATTAATATGGGACCACATCGGAAGCACCAGCTTTCAAATAAAAAAAGAATCATCAAAATCGATTCACTCAGTCGAGTGTACTGAGGTAGCAAACAAAAAAAATACAGTCGAATTTAGAATCTTTTCCTTTTAGGAAGTCGGTTGAAGAGGACAAATGCCCACACCCGTAAGATATCGGTAGCGAATACAAATTTCCTCGGTGGGAAACGAACCCACGTCGTGGAGTTTTATTATTTTTTTTTTATGTGAAAAGTCGCCAAGCGAGCAGATGGTTCACCTGATGTTAAGTGAATACCGCCGCCCATGGACACCTGCTACGGCCGAGGCTTGCAGATACGTCGACAACCTTTTGAAAGTATACTTGTTGTGGTCTATACTCGCCAACCGGGTGGTCCATTCGCCGATAGCTCTCAGCCTAGCCGGTTCCTCTCCCCCATTGCAGAGCCGCCCACGGAGGAGACCCTGATGCAGAACACGCTGTGGCCCGAGAGCCAGAAGCTGTACGGGCACGGCTACGAGGTGTACGCCCTGGACGCCACCGGCGATGGGCAGCTCTTGGCCTCCGCGTGTAAATCCACCAGTGAGGAACACGCGGCGGTGCTCATCTGGTGAGTGTCCACCTTAACTGGTTCTGGTCAACCCTTACCCTAATCGCTGAGGTGTTGCCGTAATCGAGGTCCTGGTCGGTCCATTGGCTCTTGTGTTGCTGTTTTGTATTGTTAACAATGGCATTACAAAAATTGAATATATAACTAAATAAATAGTTATAAATAAATTAAAATAAAACATTGCGGATAAGATGAAAAAAGCTTTGAAGTTGTACTTCTATTGGTGTTGGGAAAAATGATGAGAGATATTTTTTACGACGCGCGACACCGGCTTCCTGGTGGTACCGTGGCAACCAATAACAAACGTTTGACGCCTGCCTCAAATTCCAAGTTATTTCATAATTTTTTTAAACTCTATCAATCCAAATAGAGTACTGGCATAGGAGGTGAAGCTATTTTCTACTATGTCACCCTGAAGAAGTGTATGTCCCGCATCGCTCTCCAGGGAGACGAGCAGCTGGCAGCAGATACAGAGGCTGGTCGCGCACCAGCTGACCGTCACGCAGCTGGCCTTCTCGCCGGACGGCCGCCGGCTGCTGTCGGCGTCGCGCGACCGAAAGTGGGCCCTGTTCCTTAGGGCGGAGGGGTCGCTTTCGTTCGGCATAGTCGCGCGCACGGACAGGACCAACGGCGTGCACGCGAGGATAGTGTGGTGCTGCGCGTGGGCGCCGGACGGGGCGGCCTTCGCCACGGGCTCTAGGGACGGGAAGGTCAGCGACCGATAGTACGGGCTCTCTGCATTAGCTCTATGAGTAAAAAAATGATAAAGCTCCGAGAGCTGGAGCTTTATTACTCAGTGTACTCCGTTGGCGGTGTGGACGTCCGCACTTCACTCAATGCACAGGTCCACTGAACGCCGTAGTCTCGTATCAAGCTGGGTGCGGTCCGTTCGCCGTATACGCCACACAAGCGTGAGAAATTTGGGAGGGAGGGGATAGGGGGGAATTGTACGCAGAAATAAGCGAATGAAATACGAAAATTGCTCCATAATTTGTTTTACTTGCAAGCTCCTTGGCTGCTGCTAATTTTATGCTTACTTATAATTAAAAAAAAAAGAAAGAAAAGACCGCAGAGTTTCCTGGCAGTTCTTCACTGGTCAGTTCTAGTTTAGTGAACCGGTGGTTGTTTTCTGACGTTCAATAAGGGCTCAAAATAATCCTATGTTGAATAAAGTATATAAAATCTTGACTTTGACTTTGATAGTGTGTCTTCGTCCAGGTGTGCGTGTGGGCGGAAAGTGACCGGGACAGCGGCACGTCCCTCCGGAGGCACACGCTGCTGGGGAAGCCCCTGGAGCTGCCCGTCACTTCGGTGACGGCGCTCGCCTTCGCGCCCTTCCCGCTCGGAACTGCCCGCGTGCTGGCCACCGGCTTCGAGTCCGGCGTCATCAGGATGTACGTCTTCCGCGTCGTCGGGTGGACCTCCTTGCTGGAGTTGGGTAACAGGTGAGAGGATCCAATAGGGCAAGATGTTAAATAAAAGCATCATCCGTAGACCGTTTTAACAAAAAGCTAATGTAGAAAATTATCACTTTAATTGCAAAAAGTTACACTTTACCGGATTATAACGTAATGCAAAACCGTATTCAATATAAGTTATAATTGAAAATCCCTTTCTGATAACTAGTCCAGTAGAAGATATTATATTTTTGCATGTTTGGATATGCAATTGCAGTCATGCTTCAACTATTAAGTTATCGCATCTTTTAGTACTTAAATATAAGTTTAATATACAGGGAGGCTTTTTTAAGTGTATCCATTTTTTTATTAAATTCTAGACATAAATAATATTATATAAAAAATAACAAATATTTAAAAACACTCGTAATTAATTAAATACATTCATTTGAACTTAACTCAAAAAGTGCGTGATTTATGGGCAACTCATTTATTTTACGTGCGATCATTCATAATTAACACGCACAAAAGTTCGTTTCAAAGGTATACGACGCATTTATGAATGACTACCGCATTGTCAACAAGTTCTGTTGTTTAGGGATTGGAATGGCAATTTTTTTAAAAATACTGCATTGATACTGCTTATTTCGGTTCGGTAGTCTAGTTTAATGTGTAAGGGGTTTTACCTCACATGCTCATGGCTCAGCTTAGAAGGCATTGGAATCGATTCAATCCATCCGTTTTCCAATCGTTTCGGGGTCAATGATCTCGATGTTTTATTTATAGTGCTGCCCATCATTTGGCTGTGAAGAGGCTGACCTTCAATCCGGTATTCGTCGAACGCGATGCCACCAAGCAAGTGCTCTTGGCAAGCTGCGGTGGCGACCACTTAGTGAGGATACACGGCATTACGTTTACTCTATAGTGAAAAATAAATTGTTACATATAAAGAGTTGTTTTATTCTCGTTTAAGCGTTGATTATTTTATTTCATTCAGAAACTCCACAGTACACAACAATATATCTAACAAAGTATTTGGCAGAAGTTACAATTCACTTTTTAATTCACTATTACTAAGACTCCGCTATTAGCTGTCTGTTCCACCGTCACCAGGCTGTATCTCGTGAACCGTGATAGTTACACAGTTGAAATCTTCACATATGATGTAATTCCGTCGCCGCTATAACAACAAATACAAAAAAACAGAATATAAGAATATTTAAGTTTGAGTCCCCATACAACATACATAATTTTTTTTGCCGTTTTTATAGACTCGCAGTTGCCGTATTGTACGGAATCGTACTTGGCCGTTTTTTTATATGTACAAGAGAAACAATTTTATCATAAATATTAGATGATGTACATTAATCTAATATACACTTTTATTTATTTTTATTAAATTGAAATCTGGCAAGTTTTGTATATTCGGCAAAAAAAAATGTTTTCATTTCAAAAACCTTATATTCTTATTTTAGTAGATCATCATCATTTCAATCTTTTAGAGTCCTCTGCTGAACTTAAGCCTCTTACACAGACTGCCATGAAGCATGATCCTGAACCACCTGCATGCATTGACTTCATGTACACTTGCACTTGTCTTCACTTCATAAAAGGCTGCCACTGGAGAAACTCTTCCTCATCAGTTATCGATTCTTCAAGAAAAAAAAAACCTCACTTTCAAATACACTACTAACTGAGCCAAAAAGACGTAGTATGTAATGTCTCGCCTGGCAACCCTTTCACGAACCTCTAGTAAAATAATACTAGACGAAAGTTCATTTATACAAACTCTTGAAACCATTTGAAATGTTTCAAAGGAGATTTCTTCGTCGCGCAATCGGCGCCCCCGCGCTACCCTGTCAATCTTAAAAATAATTAACTATGCAATGAATAAATGGCCGTACGAATTGCGAGCGCGAGGTGTTCGATTCACAGCCTCCAAATGATATCCGCGTGTGTTGGCTGCGAATTAGGATCCAGGCCGTTTATCTATATACTATAATAGAAGAGTAGAATCGGCGTGTATGTACATTGAATATTTTTATGAAAAAATGAAAAAGGGGATCATAAAAAGATTATAAAAATGGTTTTTATGTTTCCTTAAAGGAAACATAAAAATCATTTTTGGAATTTTTGTCTGTCTGTCTGTTAGCCATAAACTTGAAAACTACTTATCGGATTTTGATGCAGTTTTCACTGGTTACTTAAGCAAAGCTTGGGGCAGGACCTAGGCTTTGTTTCATCTCAATCGGTTCATTCAAACGGGAGATATGGGAGTTTTAAGATTAAAGCAGTGCGGTCGCAAACAGTTATCCTACTACTGGACTAATTTGTATGGTGTTTTGTAAGTATTTTTGTAAGTATTCAAGAAATAATTCTGTGCAACATTAAAGCTTTGTTTTATTGCAATTGGTTCACTAAAAAAAAGCTAAGTAAAAAGATAAGGAATTAGTTCCCATGCAAAAACTAGATGGCGTTGTTCTTCATAAAATGCGCTGTATACATATTTTCACAAGTTAATTAAGGGACAAGTGCCGACCATTTGCATTTTAATAATAATAATGCGAATTTCTTCAATTGAGATATATACGATAGGTACGATGTTAGTTTTGCTCGGTATAGGGATATTCTTGATTTTGGTTTGCGATTTGGTTAGTTGTTAGGAACAGTAGTGGATTTCTCTATAGGCCGCGTACTGGGCGGGCCAAATGTAGGTGAGCTGCAAATTAGTGGGGTCTTTTAGTAGCGTTGCTTGCCTTTCGCCTTTCGCTTCTTTGCGTAGGCGATATTCCATGAATATTATAACAAATCAAGCGGGCCGGATATGTAGGTACCATTCGTCGGCTCCATAATATCATGTACTAACTTTCTTTGTTTAATTTTTTGTGCCTTCCAGCGAGACTTTTCTCTAAATCTTTAATGAGCCTAGGGCGACCAACGGACAAATCTGTCACTGTTTAGAAATATAGATTTGGTTAGGTTAGGATATTCGGATATAAAAGGGGCCGAGTAGCAAGGCGCGCTGAATATTCCAGCGCGCCTTCCTACTCGCCTTGCCTGGAGGATAGGGGGTTGTTCACCGAGAGGGGGCTGCCGAGGCGGCCAGCGCTGGCAGGGTCGCGGAAGTGTGCGAAAGCGTTCCCGTGGCCCTGCCTGTATGCGCCTAGGTGGGGGTTTTAGTCGGTGCGAGTCCGACATAACCCACTCTCGCCCCTGCGAGGGTGGGTATGCGTTAGGCATTTCCCCCACGTTAACAAAAAAAAAGGATATTCGGATATTATTTTGCTTTGTCGTTGGGAAATTATGTTTGTTTATTATCACTGACTCACAAATTGTATCTGATATTTTTTTTTTGTAATTAAGATACTTATTTTGTAGTATTTTCTAAATCATTGAATTTACCTTTTAGAATTTATTACAAAAATGCCTCGATATAATTTAAAAGAATGAGAACGATTTGATCTCAACAATCTAATGAAAACCAAACACGACTTAGTGCTGATACCCATTTCGCCATAGACACCATTCATTATCTCGCACATTGGAGTCAGTTATATGTTAATCCGCGAATACCACTCGCTAGATCACTAACCATTGCGCAGTTGTCAAGGTATCGCCTTCGGCATGGGTTCGAATCTCACACTGGACAATTATTTGTGTCATCATCATCATCATTTCAGCCTGTTTGAGTCCACTGCTGAACATAGGCCTCCCCCATAGACTGCCATGAAGTACGACTTCCCGCACATTTGCACAGGTCGTCACTCCATCTAGCGGGGAGTCGTCCTACACTGCGATGGCCAGTTCGAGGTTGCCACTCGAGAACCTTTATTCCCCAACGGTTATCGGTTCTACGAGCTATATGGCTGGCCCATCGCCACTTCAGCTTGCTAATTCTCTGAGCTATGTCGGTTATCTTAGTTCTACTGCGGATGTCTTCTTTACGAAGTTCGTTCGTTATTTGTGTGACCCATAGTAATTGTTTCCCAGAAGGCAAAACTATGAATGTGGTATTTAAAGTGATATTTTATTGTACACTAGCTTTTCGCCCGCGGTTCGGCCCGTATGTACCACATTTTATATCGTGCTTAAACAAGTAGCCTTCCTCAATAAATTGGCTATCTAACAGTGCAAAATTTTTTTTAATCGGACCATTAATAACTGAGATTAGTGAGTTCAAACAAACTGATGCTAGCTAGACTGCTAGCATCTGTTTGATACATGTATCTGATAAACTGTGATATTTAGACAGTTGAAATTTTCACTGTTGACGCTATAACAACAAATAAAGTAAATCAGAATATTTTTTTAAGTGGTCTCATACAACGGGACATAATTTTATTGCCTTTTTTATAGATTATGGTATGGAACTCTTCGTTCACGATTGCGACTCGCATTTGGCTGGTTTTTAAATTTATGTAATCTAACAATCATCATCATTTTAAAGACCATAATATAATTTTAGTTAACTATAGTTTCATCCAATTCAGCTATAGCGATTACTTTTTTTTAAGTTGATATAAAATTTTTATTTATGAACCGATTTGAATAAAACTAACACTAAATGTTAAGTGAAGTACTACAATGTATAAGTGAAAGTTGCACCCAAATCGGTTAAGCCGTTTCCGAGATTACGCGCACAAACGCACATACACACGGACAAAAATTTTTAACCATTGTTTTGGATTCTATTGTGTTGATAAAGGAGGATCTTTAATAACAGTTTTTCTCAAATATCATCCGTGTACCGACAAACACAAGTAACATTTTTATCATATGTATAGATATCTGTCTGTATCAGTCTGAATTTTTCGCTTTCATCCTATTCCACGCGGACGTAGTCGCGGGCAACAGCTAGTATGTATATATATGTAATCGGAATCTCGGAAACGGCTCCAGCGATTTTCATGAAATTTAAATGTGCGTAGATTCGGGGGCGAAAAATCGATCTAGCTAGGTTTCATTTTTAGAAAATGTCCTTTTATCCCTGTTTTCAGGGAATGAAAAATATCATTCGAATATGACTTTAAATTTCGCCGCAAAAAAAAAATGTTATAATAGCTTGGTCGGTAATCGGGCGGCCCCAAAACAGACGGCCGTGGTTCGTATCACGATCATTTACACACTTATTTTTTTACTTTTTTTTCCATTCCAGATTTCTTTATTTTTTATTTTTTGTCGATTTGTTATTTTGTTATTTTTTACCCTTTTTTTTTTAAATTCTTTCTTTTGTGAAAAACACCAGTTCATATTTTCTTATTATTACGAAAAGTATTATGCACATTTCATTACTCAGTAATTTGTATCTAAATGTAATTTCCAAAATACATGATTTACCAAAAAAAACCGAGCAAAGCTCGGTCCTCCAGGTACTGATTACTAACGTATATGTAATAATAAGTATTAATGTAAATTTTAAATCGTAAAGCCTAATTATTTGGCTATGATTTCTTACGGAATTAGTTCGCCGAATAATTTAATATATATCTTTAATGCGTCAACGCATTTACAATCCCTCAAGCGTTGTAGTTCGCTCGGCGGGAAGCATTTAGTATAAAGTTCTGTTTTTGTGGTTCTGCGTCAGATGAAGCTTTAATAGTCTCGGGACTGAAAGCAAAAACATCAGATAGTACAAGATACAGTTTTTGTGGATAGTTTCAGTGGTTCACCCACGTATAATAGTAAATGATTTTAGTTAAACAACAATTTATTCAATTTTTATTTTAAAACATCAGATAATTGACATGTAGTACCCTGTATTGATGTTTTCGCAAACTAAGGGGTATATAAAGTCGAGTATGGTCAGAAGTGTGGTAAATTAGGTATTTCATGGCATTTTCTGAAAAAACTAGCGTGAAATGCTCATCATTTATTCTGAATTTGAACAAATGATTTTTTTAAGCCCGATTTACATTGCTCAAG